AGTATCAACATATACATACATATACATGTATATATATTCTTAAAACAAATATCAAAACTAAAATAAAAAAAACGTTTAAATATATATTCGATTATCAACCCAATGATTGTTATTAATTTTTTTCGTATGCACATTTTTTTTTTTTTAAATAGAAGAAAGATATTATCGTTAGAATAGTTATTTATTTTTTTTGTTTTTTTTTCTCTGCTCATAGATACGAATAATTAATATGTTTATGATAAATACGATTGTCGTAATTCTAACGAACATTTTAATTTTCTGATGCAATATTATTATATCGTTAGATTATATATTACATAACACGAATATATAATTAACAAAGATTAATGAGAAATTCTTTCAAACGTTTTCATTTCATTGATACGTTAATGAACTTACTAAACTAGTCTTTTAATATTGTTTATGTTCGATAATTGTAGCAATAAATAACCGGTTTTCCTCTATTTTTTTTTTTTTTCTACTTCTTTCCTCTTTCATTAATTCCAAATGGAACATTTCCGTTTGAAAGGAAACAGAAATAGGTTTTATATAGTAAGTTAGAATAGTATCGTGCACTCTTTTATAATGAAGTTTAAAAAAAGAAACTATTTAGGAATGATCTTTTATTCAGTAACGTAATAATCGATTTTGCAGAATGATGTTTAGAAAATGATCGTGAAAATCGTCTTACGTAAAAAACATCGTAGATATTTTTACTTCGTTCAATTGGTTTCTACAGAAATATAAATACTTCAATACGATATATATATGTATATACAGAAATATGATGGATTACGTTTGATTAATTATGCAAATAACATTATCTTACTTAGAATTTAACAAATCATTTTTTTTTTTGTTTTTTTTTTCTATCTTTTTGTTTCTTTTTTCTTTTTAACGCAAATTCGTTATATTCTATTTTACATATGAATTTTTATTTATTTATTTTTCTTCTTTTTAAATATTAATTTAAAAAACACAGTTCTCGTTGTGTGTGTTTTTTTTTGTATTATTTTAATTTTAGTAATTTACTTATATTAGTTCATATAAATGAACAATTGATAATGAATAAAAAATGATTCGAATTGTTCGATCGAATAAGTTTCGCGTGTGTAATAAATATTAATAAATTAATAAGAAATTGTGTTCGTTTGATTGAAAAAACACACATACACACACACGCGCGTGTGCGAATTATTTTTAAACGAACAAGCACAAACGTTGAAAGATAGATAAAAATAAAATCTTTTCCTTTAAACGCAAGTTTGTGACGATGTACGTGTGTGTGTATGTACACAAACACGATTACACGATCCTCGTCGTTTTCTTGATACCATTATGATAAAAGCATGTATTTTACTTGTTTAAGAAGGGGAACCAACGTTTTTGTCCTCGAATGGAAAAGCTGGAAGGAATAAATGAGAATCCTGAAGAAAATCAGATCTTAGTTGTGTCTTATTATTAGACAGGGATAAGAACAATTTTGATAGAAACCTTTCTTAGTATTTATTTATACTATTTATGTAAATTAAAAAATGTTTTTAAAATTATTTTATATATATTTATTTTTTTATATATAATTTATTTTACAAATATTTAAAAATGCATTTTTAATAAGAAATTAATTCATAATTTGTTCAATTTACGTTACAGTTTGTGATATAAAATATATTTAAGATAATAATATTATTCTTATATTAAATATAACAATTTTTTGTTATATTTAACAATATATATATTATATTATATATATATAAAATTTCTGTGGATTATTTTGAATGCGTTACGTTTAAAATAAAAAAGTAAACTTAACATAATTCAAAACGTTATACCATGAAATCAATGAATTCTCATACAAATAATATTCCATAAAACACGTAACGATCATGATAATGATAATGAGGATAACGATGACTAGAGTATGCCAATAAAAAAGCAAATAAAAATAAAAGTATCGAATAGAAAATAAATAAACACATCAGCGTTGCCCTGCGTTATTTTCACATTAAATTCTTAAAAAAAAAAAAAAAAGAAATTGTCAAAAGAATTAATCGAAATATTGATCAGTTCATATATATATATTACCTTTTAATAAGAAACTAAACTTAACATAAATCAATATTAATTCTTATGCAAATATTATTACCATTGAAAATACGTAAAACGATTCACGATGACGATTACGAACATAATTATGGATGAGTAATTCAATAACAATAAAACAAACAAACAAAAAATAAAAAAGAAGCAAATAAAAATTAAATACGCGTGCCAACACGCAACAACAACAACAAATAAATAAATAAATAAATAAATAAATAAAAATAAAAAAAAGAGTGATTAAAAACTTTGTGAGTTAGAAAGAAATGAAAAGAGTGTAATATGAGTGAGAGAAATGTGAAAAAAAAATAAAAAAAAAAAAGAAAAAAAAAATTCAAACAAATGGGTTATGTGCACACAGCCAGTGCTGCTGTGCACATAAATCCAATCAATTATCTGCAATCTAGCAACGTGATCGATCTGAAACAAATGTCTGAGT